GGATGTCAAATGGTTCAGCCTCTATTGGACAGCATACATGCAAGAAATGTAGATACATACATATTGCACTTACACTTACTGCAATAGCTACACCCTTTTTGCACATGCTCTTTCTTATTCAGCTATTTATCAATAAGTAACTTATATGTATATATATATATGCATGTATATATTGTATGTATTGTGCTATTCCTTACTTTTTGTACTGTCTGTCTTTGTTACTGTTTGAACTGGAGCACTGTAACCAAAATAATTTCCCCTAGGGATCAATAAAGTATTCTGATTCTGATACATTACTTAATAGGCTCACACTTGGCTCTTTAGTGACCATTACTTGAAAAAGCTTAAACACGAAGATAAAACAGATTAGAGGAAAACAAATAGTTGTTTGGGTTAAAATTGCCTCCCTTTTTGGTCAGTTGTTTTGTGGTTTGTATCAAATTTATTTAGACAGTGGCGCAGATTCCAACTTCCAAACCAGCAGGGGTGACTGTCATCCATGAGTATGAATAAACTGGGAGTTTGAAAGATTCCACCAGGCGATTAATGGTGAAGATCATTGTAGCTCACATGCATGAAAAGGAAGGGTAAGAGGCATGATGTTTATTCCATTCATTTTTCAAACTGGTAAGAATCTCATCACAAACAACACTTCTGCTTTTGCAGGAGAACTCTAACTAAAGCGACAAAGGAGTTTCATGCACTTGGAATCGTGTCACTCTTCCCATCTTTGAAGGATCTTTACTCCAAAAAGGGATATGTGAGTTTGCACTGCAGCTGTAGTGTGAGATAAGACTTTCAAAGTGTGAGGGGTATATATATATTTATATACACTTTACATTGTCTGCACTTTCTTTCTTTCTCTACGAGCATTTCTATGACATTCAGAGCATTTCTTGAGTGATGTGTCAAAACTGTGCAATGTTAATCCAAAACCACGACTGCATCACAAAACAGAGTAGAACTAAGAGGGCCCACATCACCAAGGATGTTTGGTTTCACTGATGACCAGCAAACATCAGGTCAACGTGTGGAAGCCAAGTCTCTTCTTCATCACACCATTGACCCAGACATAGTCTTCCAGAAGTTGAGAGAGACATTCTGCTCACACACTTTCTGTGTCCTGATGAGTGCTCTGACACATTTTAATGTGCTCTGCAGACAGGAAAGACTTGCTTCTTAAAGGACTTTAGTATCATAAACTGACCCTGAGACCCTGGAACAGAAGAGAGGACCTCTGCACACCCAATAACCACAATGTGAGTCTGTGTCAAAAAATGATTTTAATAAGTTTAATATGGTGATAATATTTAATATAAAATAATAACTATTTACAAAATGTACTGCTAGAAACTCAGGACAGTATTAGAGCACGTCAGCACTCAGGAGCATCATGTCTTCTTGAAACACCTGGAAACAAGGACAGAGGGACGTTACGCTATAACTACAACTATAGATCATTGTACTAATATACTGATGGATCAGTGTGTCTACTTAGACATGAAATTATGTTAATAGTGTGAAAATGAAATGTAATGAAGTGTGTGCCATCTTCCATACCAGTGGATACTGTAGCCTCCCCAAATAACCACGGCAACCAGCCCTATGGTAGCTACAGCAGACAGCGATGAAACCCTCAGAGCGTACGATGTAGCTGGAATGAAGAAAGTCTCTGTGACTAAGTGACACTTTGGAAACTGGGGTAAATTGAGAGTGTCATAATGGTGGATAAAATGATCTTGCTGACTGCTTCACAGTGCATTACCTGTTACTTTAGCCCACAGGACACAGGAACTTTTTAAGGCCTAGGAGAGAAGACATGCAGCTAAAGTCCGTCGAACATATTCAGTCATTACTTTTTAACCATAGAATAGCTGCACTCACCGATTTCCACTGACTGACAGCCCGTAAAATGATATAATAGTTCTTGCCACTCTCCAGTGGTGCATTATAAAAGCCACCATAGAGCAGCCCATCTCCTATAGTAAGATTCATCTCTGTTCCAACACGATGGACTTCAAACTGAGCAGTGATGTACTCCGCTGGTGACTTAAGTGTGCTCAAAGGCGGCGCGATTGCAGGAGAGGAACAGTTAAACATCATAAACCCCTCTACAGGAAGCACAAACACTTGGTACAAACTGGGAGAAAAAAGACAAAATAATTAACTCTAACATGCAACATTTCATGATTTTCTTTGGAAAGGATTCAGAGATATCAGATATCTTTCCCCTTGCCATGCTGATACCTTATTAAGTCCAGTGTGTTGGGTGATCTGCGCAGACTCAACGTTGGTAGAGGAGTGTCAAATTCCCTGTAGTAGACAACTGGTCCTGGAGGTACTATTGATTAAGATCATATTATAAAGTATTTTGCTTAGTATAAAGGGAACAAAGGGAATAAAATGCACAATACTTTTATTTATTTATGAAATATATTTGGTACATTGATTGGAAATAATTTTATCAGACTACAGCAGAGTTGAGGTTAAATTGCTACCTGGTAGACTGGTGTTTGTGGTGACAGAGGCTGTGAACTTGGCAGATGTTGCAGTGATGGTGATGCTATAGTTTGTGACTGGAAGCAAGCCAAGGCAGAGCTTCAGCTGGTCTGCTTTGGAGCTCAGAAATCTCTTCCTTTTGTCATAAAAGGATCTCTGGTAGTCCCTGGATCCAGTGTAAGTCACCTAGAAAGTTTAAACCAAATGTGTCATGGAGAAAAGTCCTGGTTGCTAAAGAAGGTAGGTGATGTTTTATCTGACCTTGTAAACCTCTGTGTCCTCCTCGTACTTTTCTGCTTTCCACTGCAGGCAGCTTTCATTAAAAATAAGCAGGTGATTGATAGGTGGTTTGATTTCTGTGGATGAAAAAAAAAAAGCATTTTGTGGGATATAATGAACATGTCAACCACAGTATTTACCCACTACAGGCTGGTCATGGACAGTCATGCAGTTGTTGTACTGTATTATTATCGTTATGGTCCTGGGTTTCAGAACCAGTGTTTAATTTGTGGATGTAATTCTTGTTTATTATTTAATGTTCCATTTGGTTCTTAGTTTGATTGTGGTTGATGATCACATTTCTTAGTATCCTGAGCCTCAATTATTTGTTTTGGTTAATGATTATTTCATTAATATTCTGCTTTAGGGTTATTTGGCACAGTCACTTATTTTCTTATTCTTTCTATTGTGTCGTATTATGTTAGTCTTTTGTCTCTGAGTAATTACTTCCTGTTTTATTTTACTTCCCTTTTCTCATCTTCCGTCATTATTTTCAGCTGTGTTTCCTTTCCCCCACCAACTCTTGTATTTATTGTTTCAGCTTCTCCTTGTCCTTTGTCAAGTCATCCCTCTAACTGTGGATCATCTAGTGCTGAGTTTGCTTGTGTTTGGAATTCTTAGTATTTCCTGATCTATGGATTCCTAGTTTTCTGTAAACTGCTCTGTGGACTCTGAACTTTGTTTAACACCTGGGAAATCAAAATCAAAGCTTACACTGAGTTTTCTCTCTGCCTCCTGTCTTTGATTCTGTAAAAAGCAACAATCCACAAAGCTTATGACAATTATACTGCACTCTTCCATCAGTTCTGTCTTCAGTTAATAAAAACCATGCTCCATTGGACTGAGATCAGCTGATTTACTTGGCCACTGAAGAATATCCCATTTCTTTGCAACATAAAGCTACGCTTTAGGTCATTATCCACATGTACTGTGAAGCACGATCCAGTCTGTTGTGCAGCATGTGGCTGAATCTGAGTAGAGAGTAGCGCCTTGTACACTTTAGAATTCATCCTGCTACTTTTATCAACAGTCACGTCATCAATCATACACTAAAGACCTGATTCCACTGGCAGCCATCCCATGCTAAAGCATTGGCTCTGTCGTGTTTAACAGATGGTGTGCTGTGCTTTGGAACATGAGCAGTTCCTTTCATTCTCTTCCCTTCTTTTCTCTTGCCATCATTATGGTACAATTTAATCTCTTTCTTGCATCAAAAGAATCTTTGCCAGAACCGATCAACCTCTATTTTATTTTATCAGACAAGGACTAATCTGGCCTTCTTGTTCTTGAGTGTAACCAGTGGTTTGCACCTTGTTGTAAACACACTATATTTCCATCCATGAAAGAATTTCTTGGTTGCAGACTTTAACAATCATTCACCTACCTCATCAAGAATGTTCTTATGTTGGCTAGATGTAATGAAAATTATGCAGTCAGCCACTTTAGTTGTCTTCTGCAGTCTTTCAGGCCTTTTGGCCAGCACAGTCCTTCTTTTTAAGAATACTGAGTATTCTGAAGGCCAGTAATCTGTTTTACCAATACCGGTTGTTGATCTGGCTATTCTGAAAGGTTTTCCTTTTTGGGGGCTTTTCAGCCTTGTTAACTTGCATCAGAATCTCTTTGGGCCATAATGAAAGATGCACTGAAAAGCTACTAAATACAAGTTAAACAATTGGAATCTCCTCCAGATGCCTGTAATGAAACAATGAGAACTGTGGCTTTAACTGGATGCTGACACTTACCTATGCATCTCAGAGTAGCTTTCTGCCACTCCCCGGAGCTCCCGCACACAGAGACGTTGCTTCCCCTCCAGCTGTGATATCCTGCCACGCAGCGGTGGATCACAACACTTCTATTATGCCACACGACCTCTGAGTTGGCAAGAAAAGGAGCTGGGCCACATTTAGCTGGAAAATAGCAAGAGTGAATTGTTTAATGACTCAGAAATAGTGCTATTCATTGTTTTTTCAGCATGCACCTAAAGGAAACCAAAATCCTAGAAATAAAGAAAAATATTAAGACCCACAGAGCATGCAGGGACAAACAAATTAATAAGCATGCAAACACATAAACAGCATGCTAATAATCAGAAATAATCATGCTCCCACTGCTGAACAGATACAGAGAGATCGTTACTCTACCTTTGCACTTTATAGATACTTCCCCCCACTCTCCTGATAGTGAACATGTTGACATATTATTCCCACTCTCCTGGTAAAATCCTTCCATACACTCATACAGCACAGTGCTGCCTGGTGTGCTGTTGTGGCCCCACAGGAGGTTAGCGTGGGGGAGGGCTACTGGGGGACCACAGCTTATTTCTGTCTGACACACAGACATGAATGAGCACAGACTGTGGGCTATAAAGAAATGCAACAAGACAGACACACTGTCCAATCCTCCATCAAACATGCCTTTTTTCCCATAACAACGACAACAACAGCCCCTGAACATGCATTACGTAATAATCTGCACCTTCACACCACAGATCAATATCCTCCCATAGTCCGTTTTCTCCACATACTGAGTAGTTTCTCAGGCTCCTGGTGTAATATCCCTCTGCACACTGGTAATAAACCACACTACCAATGCGTGATGTGCCATCCCATAACATTTTAGCATTGGGTTTTAAAACAGGCTCCCAACAGTTGATTTCTACAACAAAAAGAAAGCTGGTCATTGTGGGTGATAATAGCTAGATGTATGTTGTCAGCAATGCTTCAGTGAGTTTTGAATTGTGTATGGTTAAACTGCACAGTGGTTTAAAATGACTTTACAGTAATTAACACACAAGTTTATAGCTAAATGTCACCTTGACAAAGGATCGGTGCTCCATCCCATTTTCCACTGGCACTACAAACAGATACATTCCCTGTTCCAGCACTGAGATATCCAGGTTTACACTGATAAATAACCTTTGAGCCCACAGTGGAAATTTTATCCCAGTGCATGACTGAATTAGGGATGAGTGGGGGCTTGCCACAGTCAACTTCTACAGATGAAAAAAATCTATCATTTAACAGAAGAAAATAAACAGTTATTTGTGTCTCGAGAGCGCCAGAAGAAAGATGTTACCTTTGCATGAGATATCTGGTTTTGTCCAGTAACCATTAATTGTGCACACTGAAACATTGTTTCCGTCACTGTGATAAAATTCTTTTTTACAGTAGTAAATTACAGTGCTTCCTGGGGTGGAGCTACCTTTCCACACTTGTCCAGTGTGAGGCAGATTTGGAGGATTCCCACATAATATCTCTATGATGGGAAATGATACACAAGGGGAGTTATGGAGGATTATAAAAACAACTGAAAGCACAAGACATTTTAATTTACTTCGTAATAAGATATTGAACAATATAGTTTAGTTTGTCATAGCAAGAGAAACAGGTATAATCAAAGGGGACCGACCGGGTCTTAAAATCAAGTGACTTTTTGAAATTGACAATTTACTGAGTGCCACCTTTAAAAAATCTCTTTAATCTTGAATTATCTCATTAAATCTCTACATTAAACCTTTATTTATTTATTTGGGTTTTTTTTTAAAAGTCCTTATGATGTTTTCCCGTCTTCCTCCTCTTAGCCTGGTTCCATCAGAGGCTTCTACCTGTTGAAAGAGGGTTTTTCTTTCCCACTGTCACCATGTGGTTAATATAAAGTGCCTTGAGGTGACAGTTGTTTTTTCGGCGCTATATAAAATTGAATTGAATTTAATAATTTAATGCCTGTCTTTTTTTCATTAGAAAACAATCCATTGTTTGATTACCTTGGCATGACAAAGTTGGGGATGTCCAATGACCATTTTCCTGACAGGTGGATACATTATTTCCTCCTTTGTTATAAAAGCCGTCTTTACAGAAATAGAGCACAGTGCTGCCAGGGGTGGAGTTATAACTCCACACCTGCCCAGTGAATTCAATTACAGGAGGATTTCCACACAAGATCTCTACAAGGAACGACAATCACCACAACAACGTAACACAAAGGATTCAGATTAATTCGGTCAGTCAATCATTTTCGATTAGAAATAGTCCTCATCAGCATGAAAGTACAGTGACAGTACCTCGGCAGAGCACAGATGGACCCGCCCACTGTCCAGCTGCAGTGCAGATGGAGACATTTCCTTTTCCAACATTATGATATCCAGAGTTACACTGATAAACCACTTCAGTGCCCATCCTTGTGCTTTTATTCCACAGCAAGCGTGAGTGAGGGACGGCAGGTGGAGAACCACAGTCAACCTCTGGGAGCCAAAGTAGTGACATGCTGCGTGAAAATGTTTTCACCTGAAAATCTCCAACAACTCAAACTGATCCATTTCATAAACAATCCTGTCACTGGCTAAAACTCTCTGGATGTTGGAAAAAACATGCAAATATTATTATTATTATTATTATTAAGCAAGTTTTTACATTAGTAAAAATAATGCATTAATACTCTTAACAAGTATTAGAGTAACTTGTTTCAGCAAAAAAAACCTAAACTAAACATTTTTTAGGTTTATAAGCATATTAGGAAGAAAATCAGCATTAATACACTCTCCAATGTGACACATGACTTTAAGGTTTTAGTCATTTCTGTTTATGGAATTTAACAAAACATTCAGCACCAGGGGGCAGCATTTCACCAGTGGATGTGTTCAGATATTTTCTGATATGTGCTGCTGTTTCTAATCTCTCGATTTCCTCATCAGGCTTTGCTTTTGTGTCTCTTGAATGACTAGCCTGGAAAATAAAGGTTACATTCAAATGTATCTTGTGGTACCGATTGGTATCACGTGCGGCTCTCGTTCAGCTTCAGTTCATATCTCGCACATTTCATAGATGCTGTGGAAATAAAGTTATAGCGCTTGTTTCTTCACATCTGTAAAAAGTCATTGTTAATTCTGATAGGGTCAACATACAAATGTACAATAAGGACCTTTAATGATGAATTTTCAAATGGGTACCTCATCAAAAGTGTCCCAAACAAAAGAGTAATGAGCTTAATGATCCTGAAATCCTCTGAATAAGTAAAAATTTGGCAGATAATCACCTTGAGATTCACAGTGTTGTCTCCAGTGTTAGCATGAAAATATCAGTGAATGCATTTTAAAACACATAATGTTAAGCAGAGCCGAACATCACAACAGCTACAAGCACCAAAGAGTTTCATTACCTTCACAGACCATGTCAGGTTTGCTCCACAGCCCCTCAGCACCACACACAGAGCTGTTGTCTCCCCTCCTCCACACAAAGCCTTCATCGCAGATGAATGTGGCCACGCTGCTGTACGTAGTTCCTGTGACTGACACTAGCACCGTGTCCTCCAGTAGTGCAGGTGGGCCACAGTTAACAACTGAGCAGGACAGGATTATACACAACTTAGGTTTACATCCAGCTTTTCTTTACAGCAACTGGTTGCATGGATTTAATTCAAGATTGACTGTCATTGTCTAAGGAGCTTGGTAAGAAAAGCGTCTGGACTTCTTTAAGTGTCCTGACGATGTTTCATTTCTCATCTGAGAGGCTTCTTCAGCCATCTTACCTCACAACACCTACAACATTTCCAAACACCTTGGGCCAGCAACTTCATAAACGCATGGCACAACATAGAGCAACCTCGACAGGTCAAGACTCAGCTGTACGTTTGCATCTAAAGGTCAAAGGTCACTCTTTCGAGGATGTCAGTGTTCACATTTTGGACAGAGAAGACAGATGGTTTGAAAGAGGAGTGAAAGAAGCCGTCTATGTCCACTGTGAACAACCATCTTTGAACAGAGGGCGGGGCTTACAACACCAACTGTCTGTCATCTATAATCCAGTTGTGAGATCCCTTCTCAGACGACTTAACGCCCACTCACATCCTGGGTCATTTGTTCTCAATAAATCACATGACAGGGTAGGGTTAGGTTTCACAATGGGTTCACTGGAAACCTTGGCTGATTGTGACCCACACCCATTTTCACACCTTGGCTTGTGTGATTAGGGGCCCTGGGCCCTCTTTGGGACACTCCCAAAAGGGCTTAAAAATCTGGGAGTCTCCACCAATTGCTCTTAGAACTGAAGAAGCTTCTTGGATGAGATGAAATGTCTTCAAGAAACTTAAAGAAGTCCAGACACTTTTCTGTCCAAGCACCTTAGACTACCATGACCTGGATGACTGAGAACCTTCACATTAGCCTTCATTATAATAGTAACCAGATAGTAGTGTGGCAGAGCCAAACCGAGAGCCATATATTTTTGACATTACACCAGAACTCTAGATGAGTGACAAAATGTCCTATAAATACATATGAGCACACCTTTGCAGGAAGCTTTGTCTCTCAGTGGGTTAAAGGGTTCTACTCCATTGTGGATTTTGTATCCAACCTGGCAGCTGCAGTCAAAGCTGCCCTCAAGATTCCTGCATTGAGCTCCCTCTCCACACTGCCCTGTGATCCCGCACTCATCAATGTCTGCACAGCCAAAGAGATATGATGAACATGTGGCTTAAAATTTGCTCATTTAATAATGTATTTCTAATATCATAGGTGTTGCTTAAAAAACCCTGGGTACAGCGCAAACTCACCCTGGCAGTGGGTGCCATCATTTGGGATGAAAACAGCCATGTTGTTAGAAGGGCTGTAGCCGGCCAGACAAGTACAGTAGTAGCTGCCAAAAGTGTTGTGACAAGTGGTGTGCTGGCCACAGATCTTACTGGATCCTATCTGACACTCATCTTTGTCTGGAGAAACAAAGAAAACGATCAATAAGAATTTTTTTTCTGCAAGTCAAAGGTGTGGAAAAGGTCCATGGGAATAATTACCATTAGAGTTTATAGACATTTTCATAAACCCAAATAATGTGAGATAAGTAACTGCATGATAGAGTATTATGGTTAAAATATATATTTTTTAAAAGAATAAACTAAAAAAGAATTTTTTAAGTATTTTAATAAATAAGTTGTTGTTTCAAATCTCCCTAATGAAATTAGTATTGACCCTCTACAAAATACTTCTGTCGAGGATTTTTAAGAGATGGTGCAGAAAACTACATCTGTTCAGAAGGAAAAACAATCTTGGAATCTTACTGCATCTGTGCAAAAGGAAATAGCTGCAATGGACAGATGTGAGGATATCAGTGGTTACACCTCTGTGGAGCAAAGAGGATGCAGGCTGTATCAGAAGATCAGGTTGTCTGATACAACATAAATCCTCTTTATTGCATGAGGGTGTAACCATCAGTTTCCTTGTATCTGTCCACTGCCAGCCAGTTTATTTTTTGTACAAAATCCGGCCAACTCTTCCAAGTTCATATGACTCCACATTTCAACTTTTTTCTCAAAATAGTATTTGGACTTTAATCTATTTAAAAAAAAAATGTTTTTTTAATCTGGCCCGAATACTCATTCCTTTTGTATTAATACAACTCTGTAATTATTTTTTTTATACTTCTTACTTATTCACGCCTTTATTAAACTTGCTAAACCATTTCCATACCCCTCAGCATTAGTTGCATTTTGTGTTTTTGCTAATTATTAAATGTAATATGATGCTAACATGCTAAATTAACATCACTGCGAGTATTAGTCAGTTCTAATTAGCATTTAGCTCAAATCACCTTTACCCAAGAACAACCCATATAGGTACAACCTCATAGAGCTGTGAGTATGGATTTAGCTGTGTCTAGTTTTGGCCTCTTGGATAGTAACTAAACCATTTCCATACCCCTCAGCATTAGCAGCATTTTGTGTTTTTTTTGCTAATAATCAAATGTAATATGATGCTAACATGCTAAATTAGGATCACTGCGAGTATTAGCCAGTTCAGATTAGCATTTAGCTCAAATCACCATTACCCAAGAATAGTCCATATAGGTACAACCTCATAAAGCTGTGAGTATGGATTAGACTCTGTCTAGTTTTGGCCTCTTGGATAGAAACTATAATAAGATATACCTTCAAGTGTCAGGAAGCAAGGGGTTGTTAACATACTGAGTAAAGCAACATTTGGAGCTATATTTGTAGCTTGTGAGCATCTAAATACTCCATCATGCTCACCAGCTTACTAACCTCGCCTGTGGCATAGCCAGCATAAAACATGGTTATAGCTTCAGGCTAGGAAAATAAAGCCAATGAAACTTTGCCTTAACTCATGTAACTTCCAGACCTATTGAAGTCTTTCTGATGTGACCTCTATAAACACGTTAAACTCTGTAAAAACTAGTTGGTCATACTCCGTTTTAAAATGATTGCCTGTGATATAAAACTTTGGCTAACACTTTGTCAATCAGACCGCCTCTTCTCCTCACATCCCTCATTTTACTGCCAAGATGCTGACAGTGGAGATGCTCGTGTGAAAACTGTACAACAGGTAGATACGTGTAATGTTTTAGTCTGTGGGCTGTTTGGTTACATACTGTTTGATTGCTGTGCAGCAGCAGAGTGCTAACAGATCACTGCTGTTGCTAGAAATGATCCTGATGTTGGCGGTAAAAAACGATAAATTTGATGAAACCAAAATAGTTAGCATAAAGTCGTTAAAGAGCTGTTTGGAGTCTTGGAAAACTGTACAAGTGGATGCTGATTCGCTGTGGGTTTATCCCTATGAGCAGCCTCTTTTACATTACATAAAGTTACTTGATTAATTTTTAATATATTAACTGGAGCAGCAGTACAGATATTTATTTTTTTCCTACCTTGACAGAAGGTTCTTCCATTTCCAACAAAGCCGTACTTGCAGTTACAAACTTTGCCCGAGCCATCTGACTTGTCGTCACACGTGGCATTAGCATGGCAGGTTGAGCACACATCCAACAGACTCTGACCCTCTGCTGGCTTACCTGAGAGGATAGAGAGGACTCTTCTCCAATTATCATGTTGATACTTAAAGTTGTTCATTATGTCATATATATCATACGTTGTAATTATAAAATCAGAATTGTGGGGAGAAAAACGTCACCAGGATTCTCACCTGAAAAAACGAAGAGCAGAAAGAACACAATCACGCTTTTGGTTCCTTCATCCATCCTTCCAGTCTCCCCGTGGACTTCACCCGATACAAAACCTCTTCGTCCTCATCTTCGTTTTTTCTATTTTTTTATTTTTATTTATGTACTTCCTTCTTGTGCACCATTATTAAGCTGAGCGCATTTGATAACCAGAATTGTGAGTGGGTGAGCTGAGGTCACCCTGGGAAAGAAACTCCTTTTCTCAATGGTTCTCTAGCAGTTTTGTGGTTTTAGCTGTCATCGTCTGGCATGTTCAGTTACTACTCGCATCTGCAGATGATACGTTCACTACTCACAGTGGACTGCCCACTCAGCTGTGGGAGCTGATAACAGCTATATTTGGCCCCATAAACCTGCTGAATTTCCTCTTAAAAAACATGGTGTCACTTTGTAACAGTTAGTTTTGTGCATATTAAACTCCTCATTACACCAGTTTGGTGTTAACCACTGACACAGCTCTTATGGATTCATGAAGGTTAAGTGCAGTTTACCCGATGCTAAGTGACGGCTCACTTAGATTAAACTCCATAAATATATAAGCGGTGTTTTAAGTTTTTGTATTTATGTTGAAACTAGGGGTCTGCAGTGGGTGATGTGGGAGGGGGAGATAAGTCTGATGAGCTCCTATCTCTCTGCCCAGCAGGGTCCTAACTGGGGTTTTCTGTCACTCAAATTAGTAAGCTAAACTCTTCATAGCTGTCGCTCTGTGTGTCTGTGTGTGTGTGTTTATATATTCACGGGCCAGTTTTAGACATTTTTGTCCAAACTAAAGATCAAAGTGAAAACTGTGTGTTTGTGTGAGCACACATCAGGTCTGGGTAATCACAAAACCATTAGTTTAGTCAAACATCAAGGAAGTGACCCCTTTGAACAAATGAGTAACATCACGTGGAAAAGAGAGAAAATAAAAAATAAATGAATAAAAAACTGAATAAACTTACAATCCAATAGTACATGATTGTTTAAATACACAGTTTATATAATTTTCTCCTCAAACATTTCACATTTTCCCCAAAAGGTTGATTCTGTTCATCTGGACGTAGAGTTTTCAGTGGGAGAAACGTTTCGTCACTCATCCAAGTGACTTCTTCAGTCTCAGCTGACTTCAGGTTTCCCCAAACTTATAAACAGTAGATTTCTACAGTGACTGAAACCAGCCCACTGAATGAACAATGGGCTGTGAGGTCAGTTCCTTGATCATTAATATGCAAATTCTCATGACGAATGATCAACAACCATTGATCAGTGGCCAGAAGTACCATTCACAGAGAGTTGGGGAATGGCTTTAATCACAGCATTGTAAGATGGTAAAAGATGTACCTTTAGGCCCCCTCCTCGATTCAGAGATGGTCTTTCCCTTTTCACGTAAATGGCCTCATGACTTCGTGCTCAAACCAGCTTTCCTCCCCATTCAGGATGTGTACATCCTCATCATTGAAAGAGTGTCCACTGGCTGGTAAGTGTCAATAGGAAACTTTTTGGGATTTGCTTACCTGGATGATTGAGCACGTATCAAGACATTTCACATTTTTACTACTCAAAACAATACTGAATTTATACTTCTTTATACTTGGTCCTTAGAATTATATTGCATGAAATAAATGCAAAATGTCCAACCGTTATGAATAAATAACAATTATATTTATGTAAGTCTATGGGACATACAATATATGTAAAACATGAACAAGTGTTTTTCCTTTCTTTTCCATAAGTTCCCTCAGGTCTGAGGGGAAAACAGTATTTAGCAAGGTTTCAAATGATGTAAACATCCAAATAGTTCCTTTTAAAACTGAGCTTCCTCAATAAAACATGCACAAACGAACAATAAACCATGTAAAGAAGCAGACTACAACTTCAAGCTTTTCTCAGCCTCAAACTCATCATGTGACAAGCATGTGTTCGACCCCTGAACTGAAGACAGGCCTCTTACACATGAAAACGTGCATAAACATGCTAATTTATTCCTGATATTGGTAATTCCTTATCATCAGCAGATTAGACTTGAAACTCTCAAGTCTCCAGACAGCTGATAACAAGCTGGCTAAACAACAACAGCTGGTTAAAAACTAACATTATAAGCTAAACCAGCTAATGTTAGGGCAAGTGCCCTAAAAACAGTTTTCCTCTGATAAACAGTTTGATTACATTCTCACATTGTATGAGAGAGCAGACCCTAACAGAGGCTCAAAGCAGTGCTTTCTGACAGAAAAGTTAAAGATATCCTCAAGAACTCACCTCAGAAATACTGCCATAGGACAGAATTTAGCATTGCTGTCTCGTCGACTCTTTTTGGACTCCTTTCACAAAGGTCTTCAGCCTCTTCCAAAGCAAATAGACATCGATACATATTGAGAACTGAAATAAACAGGGGATTGACAGCCTAGACTCACTACAGATAAACAGTGGCCAGAGCTGATTGTTCTACAGCAGCTACTGTAGCTAGGATTATGCACTTGAATTGAAAGGGTAACAAAATATAATCCAGTTGACTGCAATTTACTGACATCTAGTGGTGAGGTTTTAAACACTGTACCTTTAAAATAATCCCAAAGGTGAACTCCAGACAGTCTCAAAGAATCAAGTCTGTCTGAATTTGTCCTTCTTTAGAGATCGTTTAAGTTTGTATCAGTCAGGCTCTCACTATAAATCACATCAAGAGCAGAAAATAACCACTCACTAGCTCCGTTCTGGTGTGAGAGTAGCACAACTGGACATCATGCATACCTTGTGCTTTCAGGTAGCTGCTGAATAAAAACAGCAGATCAGAATGCACTGGCTCCTGCATTATCACACACAAAAACGTAGTGTAATAGCCAGAGAAGTTGGTGAGGGAACAATGCAGTTAAAAAGAGGATCTATTTGTAAAACAGGATCCAGGGCAACCTAAACCTAAGACTTTCTCTGCATGATAAGTCATTGTGATCTTTGTGCACTGCTGTTACAATTATTAAAGGTGGCGTTATCTCAAATGGACAAAATGAAACTGGGACATTAGTAATATAAGTAGGCGGGACATTTTAATACTGAAATTTCTTATATTTTTTGTTAGCACCTGATATTTCAAGAACCAGCCATTTATTGCAGAAACATGCATGTATCAAATCGTTCTTACTGTAACTTTTATCAAATGCACCATACTGTTTCCTACATTTCATATTTATAATGAAAAAGCAGTTTGACTGAAACACATTAGTGGTTGATGTTTGAACATGAACATGTTTTGCTGGTTGCTAAAAAAGCATGTCAGGAATGTAATCTTCTGCTTCCCATACCACGAGTGACTGCTCAGGTTTCTATCACAGACAGTGTCACGGTTCATATGATGGACACAAAGCTGTGAGATCCTGAAGGGTCATAAAAGTGTGCACAAACAGCAGCTTTTCTTTTCATGTGCAGCTTCAGGCTCCTCAGGAGGAGGCGCGTCAGGAGCAGATGTTTCCTTGTACTCTGACACTGAACCGCTGGAGGTGGACAAAAGCCTGCTGCACACCAGGTCTGCAGCTTTTCCATCCATCAAGGACACGTCTGTCACTGTTTTCTCTCTTAGCGACATGTCCCCGTCTTCATCATCATCTATGAGCACAAACTCCTTGAGATAAACCATCCCCACTCCGTGGAGACTGCGGCTCTCTGCTGACTCCTCCGTACTGCGTCCATCCACAAAAGTCAGAGTTGAAGTCTCTGTCAGGGTCTCATGTGGGTCTGTTGAGTTGTCTTCTGGCCCCGAGTAGCCCTGGCTGCTTGACTCCATTGTCCTTATGAAGCTCCTGTGGCCAATCTCGTCTTTCGTGCTGCGCTTTTCTTCGTGGCTGATGGAGTTGATGTCTGGAACGTTGGCACTAGCTCGGCTGGAGAGCTGGTCTCTCCTGGGATGAGAACTGTTTTCTGCAGCATGACCATTTCCAGAATGCATCTTGAAGGCCACCTTCTCATAGTCATGGTAGACCTGCACACTGCTGCTCCCTTTTGGGGAAGAAATGGGGATGCTGGCAGTGTTTCCTTTTCCTTGCTTCTTCATGTAAATCTGCCTTTCACACTGAGACCAAACAAAAAACTGGAGGTTAGCCTCTGACCTTAGAAACTGTAGTCTGTTCACTGAGGACGACTGTAAGACTCAGTTCAATATTATTTATGTAACACCAGCTCACAACAACAGACACCTGGGGCTGGTTTATTTTGTGAGCCCAAAACAATATAGAATAATCCAGTAAATAGGCCTTCCTTTTTCTTTAACAATATGAGAATATTTAGCAAACAATAAATACTAATATAATCATTTTAAGATTACTACTACATAGTAAACAAAATGGTCTAAATGATTAAATTATGACATCCCTGCTTTTGGAGGGAAGCTTACTGATTTTATGAGCCTGCATTGTATATAACGGGAAAATTGTTTTTTCTTTGCAGATTCTAGAAAAAGCAATACAGTTCAGTTTAGGAGGCCACATACCTTTGACCCAGAAAACTGGGGTTTGTGCCCTGAATTGTATCATTATTTTATATATTGTGTTCATTCTTTTCTAGTCTTTTAAGACTTATGAAATCTGTAAAAAAACAAAAAGTCTTTGTTCACCTGGACGGGTATTTTATCTTTTAGCTGTAATACAACTGTATGAATCTGATGAATTTCCACCAAAGAAATTAATTGATGCCAATGTCAAGAAAGTGTCAAGAACATGGCACTACAAAATTACTGGCCCTCTGACGTCTGAGGGTCTGTGAAGATCCATCACAGGAAACAGTGATGTGCAGAGCATCACCTGACTTGAACTGCTTCCCACAGAAATGATCCAAACTCCTCAAACAAACAAACAAACTGGCATCATGACCAACATGGACACTGATGGTGCAAAATAAGCATGTTTGCATGATGTATATTAAAATGCTTGATAGTATAATTAAACCCTCTGACAGGAAACAGTTGTTTTCTCTTGAAGGGAAGGAGTATGTAATCGTTTCCATTTGTTTGTCTGTCTGTCTGTTCGTTATCGGTCCAGTGACCACAGTTTTAAAGATATCATTTTTAATGTTGTCTATCTAGACTGGCTAAACATTTGACCTTGACCTTCACTGTTAGTGCCCACGGTCAAAGTTGACCTTGAATAAAATAGTCAAGAAACCATGGCTGGTGTCACATATCTAGTTATTACTAAGGTCTGAATAAAGGTGCTGCTACATGATTTGAGGTCAACAAAATTTACCCCTACTTTATTTAATTTTTGAATTATTAATGCACAATTACAAACTGACTACATCATGCAGTTACATTATAGTACAGTGTTTCGCTAACAGTGTAACTGGGGCAACAAATAGTGGACTTGTTTTATGCGCTGGCCTCTCTGAATAAATAAAAGAAGCCGCTACTTTTAAAGGAAGCAAAAATAACCTGAATTCCCGAAGGACCGGCTCTGTGAAGGTGGAGACAGATGAAGGCCTCAAAAGTGCTTTAACAAACCAAGGAAAGTGAGTGTTTGATCTCTTTTAAACACACCTTCCTCTTCCCCTGCTGCCACACAGAAACATTTCAGATGAAGTGATAAAGGCACTGCTCATCAGAGCATCCTGGAAATCTGCCATCCTACTTATGGGTGTGGAATGCTGACAGATTCGTGTCAGTGGGCAAATCTTCAAGCTTTAGTCCCGTTTTAAAGAAAGGACAAGCGCAAACAAATGCAAATGGGAATATGCAATAAATATGCACACTGGAAACTGTATTGAAATACTTTTCTAGAGGATTTATAGCTCTGTGTGCTAAATGCACTGCACTCTGCACAGGAGCTTTACAAACTGACCCTCTTACACTTGACTGACTCCTGCAAGACAGAATTGGGACTCTATAAATGAATAATATCTGCAGTGTACATGTTGGAGTGGGAATGCTCCAGTTTGTAGAGGTGACTGAGCAAGAACAAGAACAGATGAAAAATAGATAATGTTTTAAACACGTTCATTGGTTTATGGCTTTAGCTTCACATAGCTGGCGACTCCTTTTGTCTCAGCAGTGAGTACGAGCAGCCTGGGAGAAGCGTTATCTCTGGGAGGAGGAACTATGTGGCACAGCCAGGAGAAAATGGACAATAATTTAATATCACAGAGTTGACTTTTTAAAAATGTTGGGCAGTATAGAGTACACTTAATGTATGATGATGGCTATCTGAACGCTAACATTACTTAAAACTGTCCTTTACACATCAAACACACAACTGATGCAACAATGAACATCCACATTTCTGTAAAAATACACATCAATTTAATAAAAACATGCCTTTACCTTAAGCTTTTTAAGCCTGAACTCTTCCCTGGGTCGATGTAAGGAAAATCACATGGCATAGATGGGATGATCAAGCAGGCTTCCTCCTGCTCTGCTGTGCCGCTGGCAAAACTGATGTCTCCTGCTTGCAGAGTATTCCTTGTGGTCTACAAACAAGAAATCCTTCACACACGCCCTCCCCTCATCGTATCCACTACAACTGCTCACAGCTGTAGCTGCACAGAGGCAGACTCGACGCACTCACACCAGAACCTGTGTGTGCGTCTCTTATTTTAAACTTTGTGATTTTCTAATGGATTGACCTTTATATTGATTCTGCTTCACATGTTAACCACCCAGAGTTGACTTTTGAGTTTTCATTAAATTAGAAATAGCAAAAAGGCAAACACCACCCAAAACAAGGAAATGAAGAAAGGCTAATTTATTGCACATTATTTGCCATTTTGGAGAATATGCTAACGTGCTTATGCGCAGACAGTTAATAATAACAATATTAAAATAGACACCGCTTATACAGTGAATACAGGCTCTTTTCAGCTAGTTTTTAATTAAAATCAAAATGTCAATCTAAAGTTAAACATTTACAAAAGGATTAAAAAAAAAAATCATTTTCTTTAGTCCCATCTGTAACTTTGCTCTCAAATCTATTTCCTGACTGCAAACTGATTTTTTTTTACCCTGATTGCAAAACAGACAAACGAGCTAAAAATGTGCAACTCAATAACTTACTTCTTATATTATCTAATCTACCCCGATCCCTTAATAGCTCTAAAAACATTTTTTATATTTTAGTTTTATTTACCAAAATGATAATAGTGATAATAATTTGGATGAAGTCAAACTAGTCCTTTTGATCAGTGACTGCATAAATATTGTTTTCTCATTCATATGTGTTAACTATCCAACCACGATAAGATAAAACCAGCAGGGCGCTAACTTTTACTGGACCTGGCAGTGAAGTCAGATTATACCTGCAGTCCCTTCCTGAATTCTTGTTTACGCAGAACTACAATAGACACTTGTCCTGATTTTGTCCTTTTAAAACGCCACTTTTTTCAATCCCATGCACTGAATGTTTTCTAATAATACAGGCTCTAAGTCTCAGTGTTAAATATTGTGACAAATCTTTGAATTTAAAACTTTTCAGCTATTCAACAAATATTGTGAAGTAAAACAAACAAACAAACAAACAAACAAACAAACAAGCAAACATCACACCCCTTTCAAAAAAATCTTTAAAATTAAGACTGTGACCTTACAATAATGACTAAACTGAGGATTACTTTATTTTTTTCAGCAAAAGAGAAGGCTCAAAGGAGATGCCACCAGAAAATGTATTTCTTATGTTGAAGGAAAAACAGTCTTTAAGATTATGTTTGACAACAATTTGGTGTAAACTAAATAAAGCTCAAACAAGGAATGCAAGAATATTTACAGCAAACCCTGAGGAATGCACCAGAGTCATGTGTTAAAGCACCAGGTGCACTGATGCAGAGGACACTCAATGTTGAAACTGCGTCTGATCTTTCACAAGTGATTTCTTATTTTCCAGCAGGTTTTTAGGTCAGAGGCGGTTGTGCACGGGAACTGTGCACCTCAGCTCTAAATTAGAAAACCAGTGCTTTCTACTCTCTGTTCTTACTCTTATTGTCTGAGAGAGCAGCTGCTCTTTAGCTTTTTGAGACATTTTGACTTGTCACAAAGGGAAAAGCACATAAATAAATCAAACGATGCCTGAATACCATTTAGCTGCTTTAGCCTCAGGGTCCTGACATTGTGCATGCTGCCATGGTTTAATGGGACACTTTAGCTCAGTGGTTCCCAAATGTTTTTTGCTAGCCCCCCCTTTGTTTTACAAGAAAAATGTGCGCGCGCGCACACGCACGCACAAACACATCCTCCAACCACACACACGCATATTTTGCTCCATTGCGGTTTATTTCACACCTCAAACATTTAGTAAACAATTAAGCAAATACAAGTAATCTGCAATAAATTACAGGTAGTAAGAAAATAATCTACTAACTCTTTTACGCTACGTCCACACCTACACAGGTATTTTTGAAAACGCAGCTGTTTCGCCCACACGTAAAGCGTTTCGATCACCGAAAACTGAGATTTTTAAAACTCCTGCTTTTTGCGAGATCTCGCAAAAGTATTGCGAGATCTCGCAAAAGTATTGCGAGCGCTCGCAAAAGTATTGCGAGATCTCGCAAAAGTTTTAGCCGCATTCTTCGGAGGCCGCCAGCTCGAAGCCGACCGGGAGGTCGAGGCACGATGTGCCGGGAAAGCGGTGTTCCTCCCGGCTGTAGTAGGTCTCGACTTCCCGTTAGCTTCGAGCTAGTGGCCGCCAGCTCGAAGCCGACCGGGAGGTCGAGGCACGATGTGCCGGGAAAGCGGTGTTCCTCCCGGCTGTAGTAGGTCTCGACCTCCCGTTAGCTTCGAGCTAGTGGGTGTCAGATCTCCAAAAACCTCGGAGCTCTTTTGCAAATATGTGATGTCTTGTAAACCGAGCAGGTATCTGACGTTTACACAACTACATTCACGCCTCAAAATATCTTAAAAGTGTATTTTGTGACCCAGAAAGAGTAATATTACAACTAAGTAGCTGCCGCCATTGTTGGAGTTTTGCGAGTTTTGCGAGATCTCGCAATACTTTTGCGAGATCTCGCAATACTTTTGCGAGATCTCGCAAAAGTCCGTCTTAATTTTTTTTTTCCTCCCTAATTTTTTTTTTTTTCCTCTGTCTAATTTTTTTTTCTCCCCATGTAAACCGGCTCCGAATCACCGAAAACGAGATTTTTTAAAACTCCTTTTTTGCGTTTACGAGTGGACGAGGAATACAGAGTTCCTCATGCAACGTCAAAGGTATGTGCCTTTATTCACGTCACGCTGTGCGCCACGTTATTGTTTACATGAGATGAATTGCAGAATAGCAGATTAACAGTATTTTGTCTCTATCTTCAGGTTTTACACGCTTACATACGGAGCCCCCCAGGGGACATGGGAGAAAAAAAAATTGGGGAGGAAAAAAAAAAATTAGGGAGGAAAAAAAAAAAAATTAGGAAAAAAAATTAAGACGGACTTTTGCGAGATCTCGCAAAAGTATTGCGAGCGCTCGCAAAAGTATTGCGAGATCTCGCAAAAGTATTGCGAGCGCTCGCAAAAGTATTGCGAGATCTCGCAAAAGTATTGCGAGATCTCGCAAAAGTATTGCGAGATCTCGCAAAAGTATTGCGAGCGCTCGCAAAAGTATTGCGAGATCTCGCAAAAGTTTTAGCCGCATTCTTCGGAGGCCGCCAGCTCGAAGCCGACCGGGAGGTCGAGGCACGATGTGCCGGGAAAGCGGTGTTCCTCCCGGCTGTAGTAGGTCTCGACTTCCCGTTAGCTTCGAGCTAGTGGCCGCCAGCTCGAAGCCGACCGGGAGGTCGAGGCACGATGTGCCGGGAAAGCGGTGTTCCTCCCGGCTGTAGTAGGTCTCGACCTCCCGTTAGCTTCGAGCTAGTGGGTGTCAGATCTCCAAAAACCTCGGAGCTCTTTTGCAAATATGTGATGTCTTGTAAACCGAGCAGGTATCTGACGTTTACACAACTACATTCACGCCTCAAAATATCTTAAAAGTGTATTTTGTGACCCAGAAAGAGTAATATTACAACTAAGTAGCTGCCGCCATTGTTGGAGTTTTGCGAGATCTCGCAATACTTTTGCGAGCGCTCGCAATACTTTTGCGAGATCTCGCAAAACTTTTGCGAGCGCTCTAATTTGCGAGCGCTCGCAATTTTTTTTCCTCCCTAATTTTTTTTTTTTCCTCCCCAATTTTTTTTTCTCCCATGTCCCCTGGGGGGCTCCGTACTACACAGCGCAGTTACTGTCCCTCTATTTAGAAAGGCAGAGGCGTCACGGTGTGATTATTTTAGTTGTTTTTTTCCTGTGTAATAATATTCAACATTGTTATCAATACATTTTTCAAAAATGCCTCTCTGTGCAAAATGGGTTTAAAAACATAAACAACTGTGGGATACTGTTTGTCCGTGATTTGAAGAGCCCAGCGCTGCTCCCGATGAAGGGAAAACCAATTCTGCAGGGGAGACCTACCTCGGCATTTGTGCAGGTGAAACCAAAGGGCAGATATGCTTCACCATATTTTCTAGTCTTTGGCTTAGAATGAAGTTGGTTTGGAAACATATTCAGTGATGCTTCATCTCCTGCTTTGCGTTTGTGTGGGCGCCCCGTCAAAAACCTGTCCATTATGCTAGCAGTGTCCAAGCATCCCCCTTGCAATGACTCTGCGCCCCCCCTAGGGCGCGGGCCCCACACTTTGGGAAGGTCTGCTTTAACTGATTGGAGATACAATTAATGATATTATTACTCACAAGGAAATACCTGGAAACACCTTATCTGCTTACTGGTAAGCACTGAATGGTAATATAGTATATAAGTAATATTTAGTCAGAACAGAATGAAAACATCCACAAGCCTGCTCATTTATTCCTCATTTATTAGACACACAACTCTCCTCTGAACAGCCGACAATGAGCCGACAATGAGCCAACTAAACGAAAACAGCTGGTTATGAGCTAACTCGATACCAGCTAACGATAGGATCAAGTATCCTTGAAACCACGCATTCCCTCTGATAAACAGCTTGATTATATTCTCACATCATATGAGAGTTAATTCGCCAAGTGTCTGAATCTACTTCAAAGCAGCAAACAAGAGCAGCTGGCAGACTAACAGCAGCAAAAAACAGCAGTGCTTATGACAGAAAAGTTCAGAAAAGTTTGACATTATTCAACATATTCAAAAATACTGTGTAGAAAAACATATTTGTTTTACACAAACAGTAGTAGAAATACGCCAGCCAGCAGCAGCTGGGTAAATGTATTGGTTTTGATCTCTCTTAGGTGACTAAAACGTTTTGTTCTATAACAGCCACCGTAGCTGAGATTATGCACTTGAATTGGGAGGTGTAAGAAAACAGAATTCAGTTGACTGTAACCTGCCAATCTACTGACAGTCAAACTGTTAACAGTGAAAATCTGAACAACAAATAACAACATTCTTTGTTAATCATCAACACCTAGAAATCAGTCCCACCAGGTGAGCTTTGCCCCCTCTGTGTTGCTGCATCTGAAAGTAGAGGCTTTGGGACTGATGCTTATTTTCCGGTGCCTCCCAAAAACTGACCGTCACCTTTCCTGGAACCAGCAGAGGCTCCTTAAACTGGGCAGTGACGGTAATGGGAGCGGTGATCACTTTAACCCCTGTTGGCAAAACAGAGCAGCTAGCTGACACCCTAGAACAGGACAGAGCCATCCTTCATAGTGATAATTAATACTGTTATCGTCTGATAAATCGCATTACCTTTGTGCTTTTCAATTTCAGCCAAGCAGACAGAGAACATCCAGAGACTCGGTACTCTGTGAGGAGTGAATCTAAAGAGCCTGGCCGGCAGAGAGAGGAGCTTACATGGAAAACTCCATGTACACTTCAGGTCAGGAGTCCAGGGAACTTTGAGCTCCACCTGCTTCAGAGTGTCCGGTGCTGGCTCATCTTTCTCACCTGCCAGAACAAAGATCAAAGTCATGGTGATCAAGTGAGTTAAAGCTCTAAGTGTGCCGTCGCTTTAAAAACACAAATATTCTGAAGGGGAACCACCGTGACACTACTCACTCTCATTTTCATTCTTAGGTGAACATCTGATGGCTTTGTGAAGCTTGTTTTCGGAAAGCAGTGTCAGGATGCTCTCCCACACTACGCATCTGGAGCGGGAAGTAGCAGACAGACAGATGTCCACCTCCACCCCTAGATCAGTCGGCTGGTACCCCAGGACTTGCACCCGCAGGGTGAATGGACCCTTCTTCAGCTCATCGATTGGCTGAAAGGTTTTTAAACTCTGACGCACATGAACAAGACCTAAAAAAACATTTAAAACACTCAAAGTTGGATAATTTTCTTTTAAAACCTGCAGTACACATAAAATGATGAAGATTGAAATCACTTAAAAAAGTAAATACATAATTTCAAATGATGGACTAAAAACATTTAAATATTAAAGTTTTTTTTTACTGGGAAAAACACCTTTTTTGGTAAACAATGTAGTCAGTGCACTAAGTCAAGCTTTGTAAAAAATGGTTAGTTTTCATTCCTGTCCTTGTGTTTTCCAGTAAATTTGAATTTTCTTTTACTTGTGACTGACTGCTTTTGTGAGCAAAGTGAAATAAATGGATAAATAGATACTTTTTGTGGTTTTCCAAGGTGAGTATGTCTTCAGCAAATTAAAATGGCACTTGTGGGGTTCTTGCATTAGCTGGTTTGTCTTCTAGTGAAACTCATTTGAGCCTGCAATACTGGTGCCTTCGCTATTTGTTTGAAATCCATCTGTCCATACAATTTCTACCACCTGAAAAAAGAGTCAACTCTTCACGGGACAAAAGACCAGGAAGGCACCAAGTCCAGATTGTGTGCCACCTTCTGCACTTATCACCTGGCCCCATCTTGACACTGATCTTCAGCAGATCCCTGGAGCAATTCATCACTGTAGGGACACTCTCCAGCACCCCAAGAAGGCTGGGTACTCTGAACTGTAGTTCAACTGGGTAGTGAATCGGGGTTGAATACCCACCTCTGCCTGCTGCCTCTCACCGAGGGCAACTCTGGATTGGTACAAACTCCAGCCCCTGTCCAGCAGACTGCGGTGAGGTGAGACTGACTATATCTAGGAAAGATCTCCCAACCTCTCACCTAAGCTCAGCATCCTTCCCCACCAGAGAGGTAATGTTATATGCCCCAATAGCCAGCCTCAACAACCAGGGATCAGACATCGCATACGACCATTACAACTTCTCTTGTGGGTGATGATCCCACAGTATGGCCCACTTGGGATCACTACTTTTAAATGTAGCCACAGAGTTTTGATGTAGTATTTTGTACAACAACCAAATATTGAAATCAAAGCAATTTTGGCAATAAAATGTACCCATCAAGTTTCCACTGAGTTGAGATATCAGCAAAAGAATCAGTCTGTTTAAAGACGCTGTGTCATAGAATCATAATACTTTATCATTCCCTGAAGAAGCTCTATAAATGTGTGTCTTATGTTATCTATGTCTTACCTGCTGGGCTGAGCCTGAAGTTTTCATGAGTTAACAACATAAGGAGAGGTCTGCCGCAGAGAAACTCCAGGAAGCACAGCGGGATGTCTCTGTATTCACTGTCTGGATAATCCCAACCATAACCTGCAGCACTGCAGAACCTCCGCAACAGAGCATCCTCCACCCTTAGAGACACATATACCAACTCAAAGAGGACCTACTCCCAGCTATTTTACAGTTCAAATGCATGCGTAAAACGTTAGGCCGCACTCACCTGCAGCTGACCACTGTATAACCAGCTTCTTGTTTCTCTGTACCGTATAAGCAGCCTGCTCTCCGGGTCACTCTTCTGCTCAGGTATTTCATGTAAACATACGCATCACTCGGAAGTTTGTCGCTATGCAGTTCGGTTGTTTTCAGCAGCTTGTGAGCGCAGTAAACGTGAACGTAAACCAAATACACGGAACATACAGACAGCGAGGCCACAATGTAACTCTGCGCATTCCCCATTATCGATTATAATATCCATGTAGGCTCACAGATACCGCTTAGCAAGGTAAGCTCCAAGTGCATGCAACAGTACGGCAAGCGCCCCGGGACAAACAGTGCGGCAAGCGCCCCGGGACAAACAGTGCGGCAAGCGCCCCGGGACAAACAGTGCGCTTTCGGCTCATCAGCAATGAAACTCGCACTCGGTGACGTTTTTAAAAAAAATCTTTACTGTCGATGCACAATCACTTATTCCACAATTATTTTACATATTTTTCAGAGTATAAATTACAGCTGTTTCATAGTCGGCTCCTCTCACCAATTTACTAGTACAGTGTAAAAATATTTATTTTTGCTTACTGTCTGAAAAGTTCAAACTATTCAGCAATTCGCTATTTATTTATTTATTTTTCCAAAACGAAAGGGGGATGTCACTCTTATTGGCTGCAAAGAGAGCTTAACAAAAAACACAAAACAAAACCATCCAACAACTCATGTATAGAAATATACAAAGAGAACATTCATATCCAGGCTGAAGGGGACATTGTGTCTTCTTCAGTGGTTCCTGAGGTGACGGAGATGTCCTGACTCATCTGTCCCGTCCCCGCTTTTAAACTTCTTCACCCAAATAGAAGCAGCAGTACAATGCAGACTGAATTCACTGCGATCAGCGGCACTTCAGGGGAAAATAAAACATGACATGGTCTGAGCCAAGAGAAGTTAAAATGATCCAAGTCACTCTGTCTGAAGAATACTGAGTGTGTGATAAAGTGGAAACCCACCTCTCATGACTGTCCTGACGGAGCGGATAAGATTCATTAGCTGGACTTTGATGCCTGGTTCATCACCAAATCCCCCGACACTTTGATCCACTCCCCAGCCAACTGAAGATGGTTAAAACGAACGGATTTGTATTAAGTAGAGTGGGAATTAAAAGTACAAAATGTAAACATAGACGAACAACATAAAGTCTTCCTGTCAAATGGATAGAAGGTGGTGTAGCAACTTTAAACAAAGCGAAATCACAAACTTTTGCCATTTAAATTGTTCTATTTGACTAGCCCTTTAGCATTAGCCAGCTTAAATGCTGGGCCAATTCTATACATGACCTCTTGAGAGCCTAATATCTGAATTACAGACACTTACTTTTACTTAGAAATCTTTCTTCGTGTAGTACAGCGACAGCATTGATGCACAGAATAGCTGCTTGTATAAGAGAGTATAAGGTAAATGCCATCTTGTCTCGACAAGTAGCTAGCTAGCTATATGTTAGCTGTAGCTGGCACTATTTACATCCGGAGGCCGCTCTGCTTTGATTGGTCGTCGGGCTTAGGGAGTGGGCGGGGCGCGTCCAATCCAGAACCCTCCCGTAAGAACTGCTACGGAAGGACTCCATCTGTCTTCAAGCAACAACTTCTGACGTGCCCCACAACTACTGGTAGATATTTGCCTCTTGGGCATTTGTGAGAAATTTTTCTTTTATATTTTTGTAGCGTTTACTCACAGTTTGGTTAGGGTCAGGAGAAGACTATTTCTGTTAAATTTATTTTTAGAAGCTTGTCTGACATAACGCCATAAAGCCAAACTCCCTCAATATACAGGCAGCTGAGAACAAGGCCCCTTTCAGAAATCTGGCTTTTCAAGTACAAAAAGTGAATTGCAGTTAGCTTTTCACAATCTGCCTCTCACTCATATAAAACTTGACCAAAACAAGATGCAAATGTATAACCAAGAGCTAAACGTTTAATAATTGCTGTTTGACAGAGCCTTGGGAAATGTCTTGATATTGAGGATGCCATAGTGCCACCACCCCTGAAAAACAAACAAAAAACCGTGGCAGTTGGCAGGTAAGGGCTGCTGCAGTATCCCTACTTCCCACAGCCTTGTTTGACGAGCATTATGTGTAACATAGCCTCAAAATACCACTTTATGCAGGATGTTTCCTCCTGTAATATCTCATAATGTTATTATGATGTCATTATTGATGGTCATGCCACGGCTGGCATGGTGGATAACTTCGTAAGGCATGTAATGTGTTTTAAAAAAATACATATTTAATGGTGGAATTTATTTTCCCCCCCATGTATAACCTGAACATACAAACTTAGCTCTATATGCTGCACAGCTCCAATTTGTATTTGAGTGTTACTTACGGAAATGTACCACTTTCCACAAGCTGCCTTTGATGAAAATGTCATCAGCTGCCTTTATTGATCTCTACTTGAATTTGACGATTCAAATAGCAGGACCTTGGAGATAAAAATCAGTGTTGTACAAATTCTCTCAACTCCTCGATTTAAGAAACACAAGAGGCTGAATCATGAGAATAAAAATCTTTATTAGTGTTTTATGAAGTCTGCATAATATGCGCACGCCTGAGAAGCTTATGGTCAGAGAAAAAAAAAGGAAAAAACAAAAGAGAAAAAGAACTGCTCTATCAATACCGCCCTCTACTGGTAAAACAACTGCCACATCTACTGTACTGACTGCTTTGCAAAAAGATTACTGTTAAATACACACATACTGTACTACTGTTATGTATATATGTATATGCATGTCTGGTCCACATCAGTTTTTGTAATGCAATTTTTTTTTTCCCACATTCATATGTTGTAGGCCAAAGTCAAAACAATGTAACACCGGACCCTAACACTTGGTTCAGTTCCCCAAATCCAAACTTCACTAGGTGCACTTAAAGTACAATCACTACTGCCATATGGTAAACATATTTTGGGGGCGGGAACATGTTAAACTCGCAACAGCCACAAAATGAGTTGAAGCCATAAAGTCTTGTTGTACATACTGTATTTTATAGACAGAACAAGTACGATACAAACACTAACACAGAATGTCCCAGTGTGCAGGCACATTCGCTCCTCTCACAGGAGAAAATAAACACTCTCCTTCCGACGTTCCTGTAACATTTTGAAAGCCAATTATATCTGGTTCATCTTAACCTGCCTGCCGTAAGCACCAGAAGGCTACAAGAGGTCATGTGTGTTTTTTCCAAAAATGAAAGGGGGTGGGGAAAAAAATAAAATTGAATGAACTGAATGGCCGAGCTGAATGAACAAATGGCCATTACAAAGTTTTACATGCCACTGGAATCATTCAAACCATTACAGAAAAGTTGATTTCAGGCAAATCTGTTGCTGTTTTAGTGTACTTTAAATGCACCAGATTTTTTCAGAAGAGAAAAAAAAAGGGTAGATATAGGCTGCACATGTGTGGCAGTGATGTTTTTTTTTTCCTTAAACCAAGACAAAGAGCTGCTTAGAAAGTTTTGAGGGAGAGAAAAAAAAAATATAAGGAATGATCCATGCCCTCCATGTCACTTTGGAAACAACTGTGGTCTTTATAATATTATTTTAATAAAAAGTGGACGACAGAAATTTTAAGTATATTTATATATAAAAATACATGAGAATACAAAAGTAGCAAAACAATGGGGATATAGGCTAAAAACAGAATGAATTCATTCATTGAAACCTTCAAATTCTCCCAGTGAACCGCTCTCTACTTCACCTTGGAGAGTCCCAGGACTCCCAGTGTCTGTCAAAAAAACAAGAAGCTTTTTGATTAACAGCTGATATTCTCTGGTCCCTGCCCAGTGCACCCTGCAAAGCCTGGCCCACCACCTCTTCAGCTTCCATACCAGGCTGTTCAAGTGGGGGATGTAACTAGACTAAGCCAAGGACACATAAGAGTGCCATATAATGACAAAAATCATAAACTCTTGTCAGACTGAGTTAGCACTTCGTTTTTGAAATATTTATTCAACCAACACTCTTTTCTCCATTACGAGGAATGTCTTATAACGACACCCATCAAGACTTAAAATAAAACTAAAATAAAATAAAAAAAACAAAAACTGAGGTGTATGTGTGTGCGTGTGTGTGTGAGGAAGGGGTGTTCTGGCAAAGACAATCAAATCACTTTTTAACAAAAACAAAACAAAAACACCGTGGCGTTTCCTCGAGGGGAACGGCCACCAAGGCCATCATTTCTTCACTAAGTCACCTCCCCCTGGCAAGAGACGGGGCAGAGTTTCCCAGAGAAAAGTAAACTTATGTTAACAATGTTTGGGGTAGGCTTTAAAAAAAAAAAAAAAAATCATGTTACTTATACAAGCAATCTTCAAATACTGAGAAACTATTCACAGATATTTTTGGTATCTCCTCTACCTCCCAGACTAAAAACCAATATACATTTTATTTGTACCACAAATAGATCTAATATTAAGGTTTTGGGAAAACAGTTTTAACAAGGTGCATGACATAGAGGGGTAACAAAGTGCCAATTTTTGTTGTTGTTGTTTTACTCAAAAGTCTGTATCTGTGTGTGTATGTGAAGTTAAAAGAGGGATGTGGAACTGGGCCACAAATACTATGAAGTATGTCACAGAAAAATCAATCTGTGGGATTTCCTTTTTTTTAAATGAAAGGACTCACATGTTTAGAATTTAATGAGCTTTATAATGGGCTTTTTTGGGGGGAGGGGCTATTTTAGGACATACTGGAGCAGCGTGCGGATGGGGAACCCATCTGGGTCAGAACTTTGTCCAGCCACTGCAAGGGCCCGTTCAAATGCAGCTCGATCCAGCAAGGAGTGCTTGTGACAGTCTGCCGCCTGGAAAATAAAGATAATTTCATGAGCTGACGTAGCCTTTTCATGTTTCACGACATGTGACTTATGATGCTTTATGATGAGCTCTGTTAAGTGAAGCACCCATTTCTACAACTTCTTCTACAGGAAGAGGATGTTGTGGTTTGCAGCTCTCTACTTGAAATTCTTAAAAACTACTTGAAAATCTGATCACTGATCCTGGAATAACCTGAACCATTTGCATCCCATGTGATGGAAATAGTTCAGGTCATTATTAGCTGATGTCACTAATAATGGCTCAAACTGTATGCATCAAAACAAAACAAAAAACCCCAAAAAAAACATTTGCCACTAGGGCTGTGCGATATCACCAAAATCTCATATCCCAATATAAGACATCTATCGTCCCGATAACGATATAAATCACAAAATTTTAACATTTTCTGTAAATTCTTGCGTGACTTGTTTCCAGCTGCGCGTCATGTACCTGGAGTAGAGTGTTTTAACCGATGCATTTTTAAACATAAGTTGTAACGGCCGCCGTTTTCTTTGTGAGTATTTATTACATGGCGTGCTGCGGGGAAAAGCCTGTTCTAACGTTTGAATCTAAGGTTTATTTTTTAGCACCTGAAGGCTCTTTGTTGCTTTTCATCCGTAAATAATCTGCTCTTTCACGTGATTCAGTTTATTTTGAAAAGTCTCAACAGGATCTTGAGCTTTATTGTGAAAGGTTTATGTAGAAAATAAACAAGTGGACACGCGATGGTTTTACCGTTGCTAATGACAACGCATAAAAACAGGCGCTTGTCCGTCCGTAGTGTGGTTATATTAAATATAAGAGAAAGAGAACGTTAATAAATTAATATATCCACTACAGTGACCATCAAAACGATGAATTAGAAAGCACTTTGGGCAACTATGCTGTTTTCTAAAGTGCTCTGTGAATAAACTCAGATTGGACTCTTTAACTTGGGCTCATTGTCGGCTGTTCTATGAACGCTCTGTTTGGTCTTTGTTATTTGTCCCCTCAAGCTTGACTAATAAATTAATCAATTAGCCAAGTCATTAAGTTCACTAGGAACAAAACTGATAGCGAGGAAGAAAAACTTTACTTTTACTCCATGACTCTGCAGTAATAAGGCCCACAAAGGACCATAGGGTGCAACTAAAGTTCGGCGTACAAGGCTCCACTAAGATTAACTGTTAACGTTTCAAATCAAATTTCCACATATTAAGTATGACTACATCCCATGATTTCCACAGTTTCTGGACCAGTGTTCACCTGTACTCAGCTCCCCAGCCTTTGACAAAGCTCATGCGGATAGTGCACATCCTGGTGAGTTGGTAGACGGCCTCAAAGCCCTGGTTGACTGACTGAGCCAGCAGAGCTGCAAATTCCTGGTTGTTAAAGATTTTTAGGTTACAACCTGAAAGGACAAAGAGAAAAAACAGGGCCGTCGGTTTTTGCTGGTGGTAAAAGATGAATCACAATGAGACTTTGGTTGGAAGTGGTCTGTTATTGTTTTTGCTGTGGATAATTATTAATTACACAGACCTTTTGTGATGATTCTGCTGGCCTTCACCAGTTAGTGATTTGATTAATTTAGCAAGTTTTTAAATTCCTCTTTTCCCACAGAACTCCTTTAAAAACTTTTTATTCTGATATACTGTGAATTAGCATTCTGAGTGCATTGCAGAGAAGTGGACTTTCAGAGGTGATATGAAAGGTTGCTATGGAAGCGGAGACACTGGGAGTGTAATTTCCATTTTCACCTTAAAGCAGGATGCTACACAATTTTAAGAGAGAGAGAGAGAAACTTTTATCATCGTATTTTTTCTTAAACATCTCACCTGGAGGAATTTTACACACTGTTGCTGGATGCCAACCATACCGCTGGTTGCAGTTTGGACTCTGGACAAAGATGGCGCTATCACTCAGGCACTCAGCAAATACTTCCCCCCCAATATAGTAGAGTCGAACTCCTCTTCCTGTAAACACAGATAGAACCCAGTTATTCAGACATACTGAATCGTGTGAATGTAAAGAAAGTAATTTTGAAGGCTTAAAGTGCAACAGGTTTCCTACACACAGTTATACACTCCTAACACATACTGAGCTGTGCCATACCTATGTGCCTTCGGGTCATCTCTACAGTGGCATTCCTGTTAACATTAGACAGCAGGCCGAGGCAGAAGCGTTCAGAGTTTGATGGATCTGTGAATCCATCCACTGTCAGTGAGGGCTGAGAGGCGTGAAACGTCTCCCCGACGCGCTGGTTCAGCTCATAGTACGCTATAGAGCACCAGAAGGCCGGCTCCGAGTAAGTCACTGGTTGCAGGTCTGCAGGAGAGGCAAAACTACACATCAGTTACGAAAGACCAGCACTGAAAAGTTTTCTCTGTGTATGCACAGATGTGTCTGCTTTCCTACTGACAGGCAACCACAAGACCCATCCAAAACCACCACCTCACTAATTTATTACCATTATTGTGATTACCAGCAAAATCCCCGCCCTATGTGTAGGTTTTGCCAAGTCTGCGGCACTTGTTCGCTTCACTCATGTATGCAAACACAGACTTGTTAATTCATCATGCTGGTTTTTTTTTTTTAAATCTTCATTATCAGTTGTACATAGAGCGATGCCAAAAAACACCAAATAACTGAATAAAAATGTATCCTGTTCTTTATAAGCTAAACACTTGCTTTTGTGTTTTTTTTAAATAACAAATTTAATTTAATTTTTTTCACATGGTTCCCTTCCATTCTGTCAGATTTAACATATTCAGTTACACAATTTGTTTGAGTTAAAAACAACACTTACCCATGCTGTGATTGACAGGAGACAGAGTGCTGGGGGAGAGCTCTGCTGGAGAACCTAACCAGAAAACAAGAAGTCATGGGTGTGGATGCATTAAAATGCAAAAAGGTGGATTATATCTTATAATGAACCTGGTGGCTGTCTTGCAAAGAAAAGCCAAAAGGATACCATAAAACTCATCTGCTTGCTTTACAGTGAACAGAAGAGATGCTGTCTACTGTTGCCATAACACTCGATCTGTACATCTTCTAGATGAGAAGATAAAGTTTGAGCTACAGCTTCTTTCACTGCACTAAGGGTGAAATGGATTAGTTATAAAACAGTAAGTAGCTCGCTGCTGCAGTTGAGGTTATCATTAACAGCACACCAAGCTACTTTATTCTTACATCCATTTCCAGAACAAGACACCGAGCGCTGCTATAGAATCTTACAAAATAAAACATTTAACTTCTGTGACTTTAAACTTTAAATGCTTTTCTCATGTTTGCTCATGCTTCTGTGGAAAAAAAAAATCTAAAAAGATTCAATCTGGATTTTGTCCCTGCCACCCTCTTTAAGAAATTGAAGGATACGACACATTTAACCCTCCGAGGTAAAACAGAGGGGGAAGCACAAGAGTTAGAATCAAGGTGGAGGACTGAATCAAGACGCTTTCAATAAAGAACAAGCACTGACAGATTGATGCAAGGTGCTACAGTGTGTCTGACAATAACAGCAGCTTTAAAACTGTTCTTATTCATGCCTTCCTGTGTTGTATATACATACCCATGTCTGAATGACACCAAGCTCTCACTTTAGTGGCCTGATAAGGCCAACGCGTGGTACAGTCAAAAACTCACCTTTGAACCAGTAAGTGAATAAGACTGTAATCTCTTGACGCAACAATCTAAAACTATGTGTTACTATGAGCATACTTGATCTAGGATGAGCTTTGATGGACAGATTTCATTGGTACTAATCCATGATGACAAATAATCACCAGGTAGATCAGGTGACTACGTGACACATGGAAGTGCAGCAGCACAGGTAGAGTCTGACCTATCGCCCTTTACTGCATGTCTTCTTCTTCTCTCGCTCTCCCTACTTTCTTGTCCATCTTCACTGCTCTACCATCCAATAGAGGCAAAAATGCCCAAAAATGATCTTAAGAAAATATTATAATCATCAATCAAAACTCAGTACCTTCAGTTATCAACTTAAATCACTCAAACAAGTTATATATGGTAACTGAACTGGTGACTGGTCCTTATATAGAACCTTTCCACTCTACCTGAACATTCAAAGCACACTATACAACGTGCCTCATTCATTTACCCATACATAGAAGCAAGCTTTTTCAATCTAACATTCACACTCCAATGAACGCATCAGAGTTCAGTATCTTATCCAAGGATACTCTGACATGCAAACTGGAGCAGGCGGGGATCGAAGCACCAACCTTCCAACCTGCATTCAGGTATAACCTGCAGCTATTGCGACTCATCTGACTAGTGATGTGAGACAGACAGGAAAAGAAGGAGGACCACTAGTCTAGGGTACCTGTGTCCATACTTTGATTCATCTGCTGATCACTGGCCTCCCCATCCTCACTGATGTAGCCTGGTGGAGGTGTTTCTGTTGAAACACACACAAAAAAAGTGATCTTGAACAAATCTTGAAAGCATGTCTTCTCTCAAATCACATTTTCTTTCCCGACATGATGTAAATACAAGAAGCAAACTCACCTGGTATATAGTTGTTTGGAGGTTCGATTCCTGTTGGAAAATTTGTGTTCTCAGGTATGGAATGAGTGTAGTCATCTAGAGGTGGCAGCTCTGGCAGGATTTCTGAGTGTCTTGGCACGAGAACAGGAGGCAGCACTGAAGTGTTGGGGAAAAGTTACCAGAAGAGATTTACATATTTAGAAAAATGGCTTTAAAATGTTGCCGCTCACCATTTATTACAACTTCTCACATTCAAACGGCATGATTTGGCTCACCTGGGGTCTCCACCCTCTGGTAGTGGTAAGGGTTGATGCAGACTTCGTCCTTCTTGAGGTGAAAGGCATACTCACAGGCCTCAATGGCACGCAGCTCGTGGTGGCTGTGAAGGTCTGGCCATCGCCACAAACGGCAGTAGATAACATGGGGAAGGCCCTTCCTGTGGGAGACCTGGAGACGGCCGTCCAAGGATCTGATTGAACAGCAAACAGGAGACGGTGGTGAGAGGGGCAGAACACAGGGGAGGTAGAGGGGGAGGAGTGATACATAATATGGCCAGGTAGGAGAGGTAATGGAGATGGATTGACGAGAAACAAGGATGTTCTCAGCAACCGTCACCTCCAACACTATGATGACAACTCTCCCACATCAAAGTTGTATACACAATAGTTGAGATAGTCACCTGGTTTGGTCAGGGTAGTTGTAAAGGCCTGATGTATCCCACTGTTCTATCGTATTTGGTGTACTCAGTCCCCATATTTCAGAGCAATTGCTGCACACAGAGAAAACAACAAAAACAAAAACAAAAAACAAATGATAAACATGGGACATGACTCATTCAGAAATATCAGTATGGGTATGTAAACACTAAAAGGCCTCTTTTATTGGAGTCTCATGGCAAAAGAAAGACATCAAATTTCAGCTCTGAAAATGAAAGATGGGAACTTCAAATAAGAGAAGCCTTTTTCAACCGAATCAAGGGAGAGAAAAAAAAAGCAAAACCCAAACATGGAATTTGCTAGCACGCACAATGAGTGAGACAAAGGGCATTCTTCACATTGTGGCATTGTATCAAACACTGAAAATAACTCTTTCACTATGATTGTTTATGTCAGAACTTATCTGGAGACATTCAAACAAACACTGAAGGCACACAGTGGCACAAGAGAAGGGGTGGGGGTGGCAACCTTGGCAAAAAAGAAAAAGAAGAAAAAACCTTTCCATTCTCAAAACACTGACAAGAAAATGGACAGAGAAATGTGAAATTAAGACAAATGGAGAGTAGTTGCTTCTGAATAACAGGACAATTACAGATGCTACGCATTATAAGCTAAAAATACACAACAACATGCATTAGACTTCGTGATTGCAGTGGGATCTCTAAACTGACATTTAAAGTTGGAGTCGTCTGGCTCAAGACAAAGCTGGAAATCCATTTTAGTCCACTTACCCCAGAAACTTTTAGCTCATAATATCAAGTTGTGTTATTAGCAATTTCTACTGCAGGAAACTGCATGATTGCAACCTAATGTCAACGTGACACCTATCAAAGTCACTAAACGCTATAAAACAAACCAGTATAAGTACAGCTGCTTGAATGACATTACTTTTAGCTGACGTAGATACCATTTCATTCACACTGAGCCAGTCACTCTATCACTAAAACCTAAATGTCCTAGAACAACTCTCAGGAGATAAAAAAAAAAACAGTTATCTATAGACATCCAAACATTTGATGTGGTACTTGGTGGAACATCATTGAAAGATGTCTGTTAACACGGTGTTCCCACTGAATGCAAGTCTGGGTCATGAAGGCTGGCTGACAAAGATCCACATCAATTGAGCTTTCAGAGTTTCTCTCCCATGGGACTAATGCAAACTGTCTAACAGCAAATATAATAAAAGCTTTTAGTCACAGAAACATGAAAAAGCAGAATCACCAACAATCAGCAGTATTATTGTACCTGGGGATGGTAACACACTTTGTGTTACAGTTCTGTGTGGTGATGGCCTTCTCGAGCTCATCTAGCTGACCCGTCTTCTTCAGCTTCTTCACTAAGCTCTTCACAGCCTTCTCGCACCATTTCTCCTCTTGTCCGTTCTGCTCTGCGCCGCCCGCTCCTCCCGGGCTGCTAGTTGATTTCTTCCAGCCCAAAAGCCTTTTCACCACAGGAGGGGTGAATGGCAATATGGAGGACATCTTAAGCTGGACAAGCCAGGAGTCTCCACAGGACTTAATACAAGTTTTCTCTCACACACAGACAAGAGGGGACTGGGAGCTACAGTTTCGGGTCCTTGCTCTCAGGAGCCCCTCTACTGACCACTGAGTCACAGGATGAACTCCACCGCTAGCAGTGTAAACTCAGAAGAGACGGACACCTTGGGAGACAGGCATACACAAAGTACATCATTACAAAAAAAACTACAGAAAAACAACAGCATTTAAGCTTATAAAAATAACAGGCAGGCATATACAGTGAAACGCTAAAGTCTTGAGATACCCTTCATGTCTTTATACTTTTTCTAGGAAACTGGGAAATAAGTGTAGCGATTAACTAAAATGTGTGCAAACATAAACAGAAATGAAATACAGTTTATAAGGCAAAAACCTTTAGGCTCTTTAAGTATTTTTCGGGAATAATTCTCTAGGATTCCCGAAGGACATTTGATGGTATTCTTTGGATTTTGTCTGCCTTTTGTTCTGTTCTCTCTCAAGATGATCCTATGCTTGTTCAATAATGCTGAAGTCAAGGATCTGTGGAAGCCAGTCCATGACTGACTTTGCTCCAGTGTGTGTTTTTATAACCAGAAATGGTTTTACTGCACAGGCAGTGTGTTTGGGATCACTGTCATGTTGTAAAATTAAGCAGCAACCAGTCAGATTTGCTCTTGATGGTACTTTTTAATGCCTGTCATTTCACCGGTTTTGACAAGATACCAAACACTGCTAGTGGAAATGTAGCCCCAAGCCATGACAGAGCCTCCACCATGTTTTACAAATTGCTGTAGGTGCTCACCAATATGCCATCTGTATTTATTGATATAAACAAAAAGAAATTCGAATTTGAATTCACCACTCCATAAAACCTGTTGCCACTGATTTCCAGTCCAGTTCTTGTGTAATGTGGCACACCACAGCTATTTCTACTTAATACTAGTTTATGCTGGCAAGTCATCTTTTGCATTTCTCAAATATTTAACTAAAGGAATGGGAACAAGTTGTGTTATGAGGCTGCCTAAAGATACACTTTAGGCATCACTTAAGATACAAATATGTATGAATGAGTCATAGGTCAGTGAGAATGGTTTAACAAACAACGGGACAGGGTCTAGGCTAAAAATGAGTAAAAAGGGAGCCAATATCCAAAGAAAACCTTTGAAACACCCTCAGAAAGCTCGGAGAACTACTGTTCAAAACCACTTAAAAAACAAAAGAAAAATGTTAAGAAATGAGGGCGGGCTTAAGCCTTTTGCACACTATTGTACTAGACACCGTTACTTCAAAAAGAAATAAGCAGGACTGTTTTGTCAGCAGCACTGACTCTTGTGTGAAGTAAAGAAATGCCCACCTGATGTTAGCTAGTCAAACACTGCCTGGCACCTCAACTATTTAGCTTGCAAAACAATGAAGTTAGCAGACCGGGTGTGTCTCTTCCGTGCCCAGAAACTAGCACGACAAACTGTTAAAGGGCGCTGTGAATCATATCAAATCAAAGTGAGAGCATTTTGTGACAGCCAGTTAGTGCTAACACTGACTGGCTTTGGAAGGCCGGCTGCTAGCTGCCTGATAGGGGCCCTGCCTGGATCAAGTCACCACCAAATCAGTTTATCAGAGCTAGCTTGTGAATTTCTGTAATAAATCAAGCAAAGAGCGAAATGCAAATAAAAGCCACAGATAATGAAATTCAATAAACCATAGGTAGTTTACGGAGAATTCATAATCTAGCTAAGGCAGCTAACGTTAGCTTAAGCAAGCTAGCTGCCAGCTTGTTACCAAAAATCCTTTTGTTGTGATCCACGAAACAGCCTCCTATGCGCAACAGTCAAGTCGCGCTACTTTCTACCTACCATCAGGCAGTCAAATACAATTTATCCAATCTCACAAAACGTCACCATAAGGGTATACACAATGTAGTCTATCAGTTGAATAAAGCTACCCGTTCTCTGTGTCTTTTACTCAAACATAGTAAAATGAGCTAGCATCTTGGACGAACTCTTCCAAACTGAGCCCTGTCTCCCGCTGGCTACCGGAGCTACATCTCCCACACAAAACAACACGCTTCAAAGTCAAGAAAGCCGCTCTAAACGTTCCAATAATTACCTCAGTCTGAAAATTCCAGCTTCCAGTTTCCGAGGAAGAGATGTGCGCCTCTCTAAACGCCTTGGTGACATAAAAATACATGAACGCTGCTGTACTGCAGCTAATTTTGACAAGGCTCTTCTCAACTTGCCACCAATGCTACACAAGCTAGTTAGCTATGTTAGCTAGACCGGAACAACACAACAAACCTGTTGGCTACGGGCAAGCGATTAGGCCCACCTATCAAAAACGTGATTGGAGGATCGGACGAAGACGTAACTGAATACTGGCTCTTGTCCTTGACAATCTTCTTTGTTTATTTGACAGCATGTGTTTATATCTGTCATCGTTTACGGAGGATTGGAAGCAAAACCGGTTCATAGCAGCATTTTTTTTATTACTTGGGTTATCATTATTTACATTTTCCCAACACAATTAAATAGTAAATTGAAAAATAGGATAAGTTTTATTTTTCACTCCGGCTTATTTATGAAAATGTATCTTTAGAGCTATCAGGTTTGCTGAAAATTTAGTCAGAACCAATAGCTCCTCCCCTCAGGCAGGTGTTCAATTAGGTTATATTGGCTTCACCTGGTGTCATTATAAAACGCTACATCTATCCACCTCTTTTGGCCTGTGTTTGTTTTTTGTGGCAATGGGTGGATGTTTGTTTCTCTGTCTGGTGTTATTATCAGACTCCTTACAGGGTGAGTGTGGGGCTACCAAAACTGCTTTTCTAGACCTTCTAATTTTGCAGTGACTACATTTTTTTTTTTTGTCCTTTTTCTCTCAACTTAATTCATGTAGTTCTTTCTGCTGGAAGTGGTCTCAGAAGTTGCACCCGGGACTCTAAACTGTGCAGAGATGGTTCAGAGTGTGTGCTCTACAGGTATCTGTGTGATGGAGAGCGGGACTGTATGGATGGTTCAGATGAAGAGGATTGTGAAACATCATGCAGCAAAGGTATGAGACAGTGTGTATGTTAGATTAGACAAATTGAGTAGCAGAAGTAGTTGAAGATCACAACGGCAGTCACATGAAAGCACAAATAAAGACCATACAATAATTGAGGGGAAGCCAGATTACCCCCTAGAAGTAACCACCTGGTGACAGCTGGAAGGAAAAACTCCTATTTGACAGGAAGAAACCCCTGGCAGAACCAGGCTCAGGAAGGGACAGCCATCTGCCACAAACAGTTCAGGGTGAGGGGATGTAGAGCCAGAGATAATAACTAATGATTAAATGCATGGTGAGTGAAGTAGAAACACTCAATGAAGCCTAGACCTAGTGCAGCATAACTAAGGGAGGATTCAGGGTCACTTGATCCAGCCTTAACTTTAAGCTTAATCAAAAAGGAAACTTTTAAGCCTAATCTTAAAAGTAGAAAGGGTGTCTATCTCCTGAATTCAAGCTGGGAGCTGGTTCCACAGATAAGGGACCTAAAGGCTGAAGGCTTTGCCTCCTATTGTACTTTTAAATACCACAAGTAAACCAGAATTCTGGAGACAAGGTGCTCTATTGGTGTTATTATGGTACTATGTTTTATGAAGAACTACGATTATGCATGTGACTGTAACACCTGTAATGCCTGCACACAAGCAGATAAGTTCCAGTGTGCCCATGGGAAGATGTGCATCGAGAAGAGCCAGGTGTGTGACGGTGTACCTCAGTGTCAGGACCGCTCTGATGAGCTTCAGTGCGTGACGCTAATGAGGGGCTGTGTTCATCACTGTGACAACAAGACCCGCTGCCTGCCTGCAAACTTCCTGTGTGACGGCGAGGAGGACTGTACAGATGGCACAGATGAAGCCACTTGTGGTACCTTCTGATGTATTTATAGTACTGAATTGACACTCGTTTTTATGTTTGACTTGTGCATTTGTTTGGGTTTTTTTGGTTTTGAATTATAATGCTTTCCCTGCTGTATTTTATTTTTATTATGTATCCAGGAGAAGACAAAAAGGAAGAAGAGACCATTACAACCTCTGTGCCTACAGTCTTGGTTGGCCCTTCTAAACAGTCCACCTCTTCTCACCCCATTAAGTGTTCTTTCGGCTTCATACCATGCAGTGACAACTCGGAGTGTATCCAGAACCACTATTTCTGTGATGGTGAAGCAGACTGCAGAGATGGTTCAGATGAGGCAGAATGCTCATCGTCTTGTGAAAAGGGTAACCTGTTTGTCATCTCGCTTGTTATTAATATGGCTTTACTGCCATCTAGTGAGCAACGCTAGTTTCACATCAGTATTGGTGCATGGCCAGTTGACACTTTGGCTTTTTACTATCAGAGCACCCCTAAAAATTACTATAGCGATAGTATTTTCTTAAGTTATATTTTTCTAACTTTTCTATAGATGACAGGATGGAATGAAAACAGGCTAGATATCCAGTGTTGATGATGTCATGATGTTACAGTGTACTCACACAGAGCCAGGTTTGTCATTAACAGTCTAATAACTCTTGTTCCTGCGGCAGAAAGACGATGCTGAGGTAATTTCATGACACAGATAATTACAAGGCACTGCATATATGACATTATGATTGGGAGCTGAGCCCCCCAGCATTGCCACTGCAAACTCTGACATTACATGGAGCCAGGGCACTATATGCAGATCAATAAATGTAGACCTAACTGTGGAATTTAGGATTAAAATCTCTTATTGTAACTGAAGCTCAAACTGCCAGATGATATTTGTATCATCAGATAAGCTGGACGGTTACAAACAATCTAATGTGTATGCAGTAGGATGGTCTATGTGTTTGTAGATTTACAGATGTATGCACTACAAGCCTGAGCCCAAGTGAGAGATTAATGTGAACATAATAAAAAATCATTATACAATCTGTCCTTTGTAGACCAGTTCCAGTGTGCCCATGGAAGGATGTGCATTGAGAAGAGCCAGGTGTGTGATGGTGTGCCTCACTGTCAGGACCGCTCGGATGAAGCAGAATGCACAAAGTACATGGAGGGCTGTTCTCATCAATGCGACAACAAAAGCCGCTGCATTCCCAGTAGCTTCCTTTGTGATGGGGAAAGTGACTGCTCTGATGGCAGTGATGAGGCAAAGTGTGGTATGTGGGCATACTAATGTCCTACCTGGTTTCAGCTTTGCTTGCATATGAGTAATCTTTAATGCTTTGTTTGCCTCCCTCTTGTCAATATAGAAAAGGAGGACTGCAGTGACACAGAGTTCAAGTGTACCAGTGGCCAGTGTGTGTTGGCCGCAATGCGTTGCGACGGTCACCCAGACTGCCGGGACCGTTCGGATGAGGAAGACTGCACCAAAGTGCCAGCCTGCAAGACCAAACTTCGCTGTCCCCAGAGCAAGGAGTGTCTAGTGCAGGAGTGGATCTGTGATGGAGACCAGGACTGCAGAGATGGCACTGATGAGAAGGTGGATGCTAAAAAGCAGCTTCATGCATGCTAAACTTTGAGGAGCAACCATAAAAATCTTTTTAAAATGATTTGGGGAGTGGTGTGTTTTATTGTTGGTTTTTTTTTTTGGGGGGGTTTTTTTTTGTAAGGAGCTAGTGATTTAGTTCAGGTCCTGTTTGTGGATAAATGAAGGGGAAATCATTGTAAATAAAACCAGACATTAGATGTTAGCTGCAGTGTACATCGATGTTGGTGTATTACTGTCATGCCCCTTTTCCTCTGACAGTTTAGATGTCAGGTTCAGAAGACATGAAGCAGGGTTTCTGCATGTTGTTGAATAGTACTTTACTCTCCTTTAAAACTGCTGCATGTCCTCTGATGGGCTAAATGTTCAGCTGGCCTCCTGCAGTTTTTTTTTTTTTTTCCTCTCTCCCTCCATGATCAGGAGTGAAGTGGTAAAGTGCATGTTTAGATGATTAAAATTTAATTGGACTTTCAGGATTGTCCTGTGGCTCCAGTGAACTGTGGAGAGTTCCAGTGGTTGTGCAAATCCAAGACCAAGTGCATCCCTAAAGCCTGGCTGTGCGATGGCATGAAGGACTGCAATGATGGCAGTGACGAGACTGAATGTGAGTAAATTTAGAATTGTTTAATTCTGTGAATAATTCTAATCAATGTGAAAACTTGTAGCAGTAAGGGTCTTTATCTTATTCCAGTTTTACCACCTGCTATATCTGTTTAGCACATAGTATAAAAGAGGACATAAAATATGTCGATGTTTGTCTGAGAATATTCTATTTGCAAAATGAGACTGTCCCAATTCTTTAATTCAAATTGGGATGTTTAGTTATATGAGCTGTAAAATGCCTGTAATGTGTAAATTCTAGCTGAAGAGTAGTAAATGGATAGTCATTTAATTTAAACTGCTGCTTAAACTTGTGTACATGAATGCTGTTCATGTTTACAGGTCCGGCTGTAACATGTGCCCCTCACCAGTTCCAGTGTGGCAGTCAGGAGTGTCTGGATCCAAACCTGGTGTGCAACGGCATTACAAACTGTGCAGATGGCTCAGATGAGGGAGGAAGCTGCCATACAGACTGTGCAGAGGAAAATATCATGCACTGCTCCCAGGGCTGCTACAACACACCTCAGGGACCGGTGAGAAGTCTGTCTTTAAAATTCTGTGTGCTCGATCAAATTTACCCAGCAGAGACGGTGCCTGAAAATGGTTTGAAGGGTGTATGTAGCAATATTGCCATGTAAAGTCTGATTGTTCTGGATAAACAATCCCTTTTGTTGATCCAGTAAAGATGTATATGAAGGCTATGAGCCTGCAGTGACTCAAAGTGAGTAATCTAAATGTTAGATTTGCATTTGGTGTCTCTAGCGCTGTCGCTGTGCAGCAGGTTTCAGGCTCATGGAGGATGGGCTGGCCTGTGCTGATGTTGATGAGTGTGAAGTTCAGACTCCAGGTGTGTGCAGTCAGCTATGCATCAACGCTCCAGGCTCGTACAGATGTGACTGTCAGCCGGGCTTTATAATGGAAGCAGATGGACACCACTGCAAAATCACTGGTAAAGCTCCCTTTAATAAACAGCATGGCGTTGTCACTCTTGAAGTGGAACTGGACAAAGTTGAAAATGTCAGCACGCTGCAGCCACACCAAAAGCAAATGGGTTTGACTTTTGCCCATGCCCCATTTCAAGATTAATAACATTCTTGCTACATTCTGTTAAATATGACAAGAGCAGATTTATATGTAAAGTTTGTATCTGTCTTGTGTGAAACTTGTATGAAAAGCACACGAGTGAAAACAGATAAGAGCC